TTGTACTTATATACGTGCGTTGTGCACCCGATCAATATCGAGAGTTGCATTGCCTTCCAACATGTTTGTTCCTAATGTGAAGTTGTAGAAGTTGGAAGAAACGAGATCTCTGGTGTGTGCTTGCAGTAAGGCAAAGGAGATGGTCCCTTCTCTGGTGCTTGTCGAAATTATAGAAACAAGATTAATGAAATGACAGCGAGGGGAACAGGTTGATCAATGAAGCGACTTACCACCAGGTAAGAAGATGTGGTGTTTTTCCTCAAGCAAAAAGTGTCTGGGCAATAGGGGCATGCTGATTTACTAAATGTGGATGGTGATTTCTTTCTTCCAGGTGAAATGTGCTGAAAGTGGATGTTGATGGTGCTTTTCTCTCTTCCAGGAAACGTGACAAAACGTGGGAGCTATGTCTTTGCTGTATTATACTTGATTCTGAAGGCCCTGTTTGGTGATGATGCCTTGACGCTTCATTGACAAGAATGGACTGACGGTGGCATGAGTTCTATTAAAGGGAGGCTTCTACTTCTCTTTTTTGAATGTTGCAAGTTAAGTAATCCTTCTAGTATTGTACTACTATTGATGTGAATAAACTAGCATCTGGTACTTTAATCATTTTTTTGCATTTTGTTGGATCTTCACTTGGGTACAAGCAGTTTTAGTCACACATGCATGTAAAGAGTACGCATTATGCAATTTTTGTACTCTGAGCTCTGAATTTGAATCAGATCTGGATGTTAACTCTGAATCTTTCAGACTCCATGTGTGAACTCTGAAACTTAGTATACCCAATTCGAGTGTGAAGCATAGTGAGCATTTAGACATCTTTCAGGAGCCAAGTTAACTCGAATCAGAGCAGTAAGTTAACAGCAATGATGCTAGAAGCTAGCAGGCTAAACTTTTATGTACGATTCACTTCAGACTCTTCTTCAGAGCCACAATTATTATACTCAGAAGAAGAGTATTAACATTTTCCATTATCATAGCAGCATCGGTATGACAAGAGTTGTTATGTTTTCAGAACATTGGGACTAGGCTTAACTAATTATGATGAGAAATCACTTTCTTATCTTAAATACATTAGTGATTAGAGGATTTTGAGCAAAAAGTTCTACTGTCCTTTTCATAAATGTCCAATTTAGTATATTAAAATTAATAGGCATATTTTCATAAAGGCTGTCATTTTTATAGTGTCACTGTCAGTGGAAAAAAACTATTTTACCTTGAAGTGTAGAGCGTGCGTTTAGTATCTAAAAAATGTATTGTAGGCATGTGATGAAATTCAAGTGCAAATGCTAGCTGATTTGCATCATTCTTATATCTGGAATCTATTTCTCCAACATTTATACATACTCATTTACAGTAGATAAATAAACTTGACTAGTGAACTTACTACATGAAGGCAATGAACTGGCAGTTGCTGACTCCTGAATCAAAGTGCTCTTCCATTCATTTGGTGTGAAGTGTTCCAGTCTTGTATCTCTTGCGTGCCGAATCTCTACTACGCATCGGCTGGTTCATCTCCGGTTAATCTTCTGTTACTGATGTAGAGTTAGTATGTTACAATGAAAACCTGAAAAATAACATAATGAACAACTTTGCTTCCAGAATTGCAGAATAGGCTTAATAATTGCAAAATTCTGGAACCATGGCAATTCAGGTTACTCTGAATCTTCTTCCCTGACTTACACCCAAGTGAACAAACTACCTATAGTAAGTGAAAGATTAATTTTTTTTCTGAATGTATCGTGCCTTAATTGGTGAAGTCTGATTTTTTGATTTTCTCCTGTAATGGCAGCTGCAATTTGGCAAGCAAAATTCATCAGCAATGATGTACTCTAGAAATATGGGCAACGTTATTTACCAACTGAAATTTACAAAACACAAACAAAAAAGAAGCCGAGAACTACCGAACGTCAGGTATGAGTAAAAGTCACACAAAACGAACGTTTCATTTCTCTCGTTCGGTGCAAATAGTCCTCAGGGGATTAGCACTATCATCATAAATGATGGTAAGAACATTATTACTTAAGTAATGAATTGCTTTTATCTTGAAGAAAAATGCTTCTCTTGTTCAGCACGAACGCCCGTTCAGGCCTTGATGCCATTTTTTATGCTCCTATCATAAGAAAAGCCTGCTAAGAAAACAACACGTGGTGAGTACAATTGTGCCAAAAAATGGGCCCACCTTTATTTTTCTTTGAATGTGAAATTGAAACATGTCGAGTTGCCAGCAAACCCTATTTTTTCTTCCTACATTTCTCTTTTTCCTTTTTTTCTTTTTCCTTATTCCTGGTTCGAAGAATTTTAAAAATTTGTGAATGCTTTCTTGAAAATCAATCAACTTTTTCTCAAAATTGATGAACTTTTTTCTCAAATTTGATGAATATTTTTTTTCAAATTTGATGAACTTTTTTCAAATTCGAGTAACTTATCTTTCAAACTCAACGAAATTCAGAGCACATTTCATACCACAACCACAAAAGAGTGCTACTATTGAGTTGCAGGCATGAAAGTCGACCACCACAGCTACGATGTAGCTGAAATGGAAAACATCATGAAACCCTAGTACCAAACCTACGGTTTGAGTAATCCATCATCACTATCTACCACAACATCACATGGTCGCAGATCGACAATCTGCAATGCTACCACTGTTCATAGATCTATCCCTAGCACGTGCTCATAGACCAAAGTTATATCGAGTAGGAAGGAGGAGTGATAGAACTTACAGCCAATGGTGAGCAGGGAGGTGTGCGAAACTCATCGGAGAAGAGGAGGATGATGAAGTGCAGCCATCGTCTACTGCTGACAGGAGAAGATGCACAATTTACCTGCCAGTTGGTGACGAAATCGCCCGAGATGAAGAGCGTGAAGGGGGGAAATGGTGGGGGAAATTGGGACGAGCTGACGTGGGCTACATAGGGTGTCTGATTCGGCACGAGGTGTCCCAATTCTTCCCACTGCATTTTCGTGAATATCCCCTCCTCGCATCAGCTCGGCGTCATGTTACTCTCCTCTAGGTGAGAGAAAAATGGCCGATTCAGCCGTTCCCAGCAGGACTGGCTGGGAGATGCTCTAAACTTCGAGCGATGCGTGCCAAACAATGAACACAATGCCAAACTGTAACAGGCCCATGGAGTAAGCAATCAGGTATCACCATGCATGTGTTTCTACTCATTTTGCGGAAAAAAAACTGTTACAACCGTGTTTGATTGGCATTGTTCCACTCGATGGGCGGGTTTAAATCTTGATTGCATTTGTGGGTGCAGTCAGAACAATCTAGCATGTGTTTGGCAGAGTGCATGAAGGGTGCATGAGCTCAAGAGTGTCCTTCTCGATCCACTTTTCAGTGTTTGGTAGCCTGCACAGGGCCTCCTCAGTATCCACGAGCTCAATCCAAATACCCTCTTAGCATGCACGAAGAGAGAACACCCCAACAGCCGTTCACTGGTCAACATGCATGAGCGAAGCGAGCGACAACGTGTTTCAAAAAATGTTCATAATTTCTAAAACAAGATTTAATTTTCAGAATACCAAAATTGTTCAAATAATGTCCAAAATTTCAAAATTTTGTTAAAATTTTCACAAAATGTTCAGCTTTTCAAAAATTGTAAAAAAATTAAAAAATGTTAGGAATTTTAAATTTTGTTTAATTCTTTGAAAAAAGTTCGGAATTTTTTAAAAAATGATTTTTCAAAAAATGTTCAGATTTTCAAATTTTGTTTAAGTTTTAAAAAAGAACACACTTTCAAATTTTGTTTAAATTTTAGAAAACATTACAATTTCAAAAAAGTTTAAATTTTCAAAAATGTTATTTTTTCATGTTAAAAAATTGTTCGCATTTTTGAAATGTTTTGTTCACTTTTTTGAAAATACCGGTTGCTATAGTACCGACTGACATGTCTAAACAGATGCAAACTGCCAAACAGAGTCTTGGCTTAGCATGTCTCAATGCATGAGCTGCTACCAAACAACATCAAATGCATGCACTTAGGATGTCTACACTGAGCATGTATCAGAGGAGACCAACCATGCTAGGTTGGGAATGCCTGTTCTGTATTGGAGTACAACATATTATGAGGGTATATTTTTATTCTATTTAAATACTAATAAAGAAATAGAAAGGAAAAACACTCAAGTAGTATTTGTTTCACGAGAACCACAACAAAAGATGAGGGAAATTCGTGCATATGAGCGCTCTAAAAGAAAAGCCCAGCCCATCATCAGATCGACACTGATTGGTGGGGTCACCTTGTCAGCAACAAGGTCGAACCAGACCACGCAAACCATCACCACTCTGTCTCTCCGCTCGCACCAACGCGTCCGTTCCCTCGCCGCCGGCGCCGCCGCGCCGCCGCCTGCAGCAGTACACCATGCTCCGCCTCCACAAATACATCCTCACCCAACTCCTCCCTTCTTCCCCCGCTTCCACCATCTCCCCTCTCCACCGCCTCATCTCCGCCGTCGCGCCCGCCGTTTTCCCCAACCCTAGCTTCGCCGTCGAGGACTACCTCGTCGCCACCTGCGGCCTCACCCGACCACAGGCCGCCAAGGCCTCCGCCAGGCTCTCCCACCTCAAATCCCCCGCTAAGCCCGACGCCGTCCTCTCCTTCCTCGCCGGTCTCGGCCTCTCCACCGCCGATGTCGCAGCCCTCGTCGCCAAGGACCCCAAGTTCCTCTGCGCCAAAGTGGAGAAAACCCTGGCCCCCAACGTCGCGGAGCTCACCGGCCTCGGCCTCTCGCGTCCCGAGATCGCACGCCTAGTCTCGCTCAGTCGCGGCTGCTTCCGCAGTAGATCCATCCTCTCCAAGCTGCACTACTACCTGCCTCTCTTCGACTCCTCCGAGGGCCTCTTCCGGGTGCTCAAGCGCGGCGCCGGCCTTCTCTCGGCCGACCTCGAGCGGGTGGTCAAGCCCAATGCTGCGTTCCTTCGGGAGTGCGGGCTAAGTGATTGCCACATTGTCAAGTTGTGCATCGTTCAGCCATGGCTGCTCCCCTCCAGCATGGAGCGCATCCGGGCAATGGTGGCACGTGCTGAAGGTATTGGTGTGCCTCGTGGCTGTAAGATGTTCAGACACGCGTTGCATGCTGTTGCACGCCTCAGCAACGAGAAGATCGCCACCAAAGTGGAGCACTTGAAGAAGACATTTATGTGGTCAGATGCTGTGGTCGGCATTGTTGTCTCCAAGTTTCCATCTGTGCTGTTGAGGTCTAACCAGATGCTGCAGAGCAAGTCAGAGTTCCTCGTCTCTGAGGTCGGGCTGGAACCGACATACATTGCTCATCGTCCAGTAATGCTTAGTTACAGCCTAGAGGGCCGACTCAGGCCCCGGCACTACGTTGTAAAGTTTCTCAAGGAAAATGGATTGCTAGATCGTGACCGGGACTATTATAGAGCAGTCATGATCAGCGAGAAAGAATTTGTGGAGAAGTTCATATGCCCTCACAAGGAAGCTGCACCACACCTTGCTGAAGACTATGCAGCAGCTTGCAGAGGGGAAGTGCCTTCCAGTTTCAGATTTACATAAACCAAGAGCGGGCTATGAGAATTGGTGACTGTGTATGACGCAGCAGAGTTTATGCTCTGTGCAGTCAGCTAGTAATTTCTGTTTCGGTGTTATTTGCCTAATTGGATGTTTGTTGTCTGCTCTAGTATGTCTGGTACATGTCAATTTAGTGTCGCTAATTCCATATGAAACTGATAATTTGATTGTGACTTCTTTGTATGTCTATCACACCATTCCAGTAGAGAAGGAAGCATCGCACTATGGTGAACATGTCCATCCTCATATCATATTGGCACACATAATGGAACCAAGAGTGTGTGAGATCAGGGCATTTCTGCAAATGGTTTCAAATATCAGAGATAGAGTATGTCTGCATACTCCATCATTATGTTCTCAAATGACCATTGCAGTTTTCAGTGCAATCCTTGACTACCTATCCATGAAAAATGTTCTCATTTTGGTCATTATTAATTGAAGTCTCAAAATTTCCCTTTGGATAGCTGAAACAATTGTGGAGTTGTTGATGGCCACTGCCGAGGATGTAGTTTTGAACTAGTTTGTTGGTTCCTTCCTCTTAATTCTTCTAAGCTGAAAGCCTTCGTTTCCCTGCAGTTGCTCTGTTTATAAGATACTTACTGTACAAGAAAGCAGGTCATTGTTTACTACTAGTACTTTGTATCAGCTTTTGCTTTCTCGCTCTATGTTTTTGGATGGCCTATTGGCTTGTACTTTTTCTAGGGACATCTGATCTCAAAATTGAATAATGGTGTTCGCGTTATGAAAATACTTGGCAGTTTTACAGCTACTTCAAAAAATTTATCACCTTTTGAAAGCCTTGTATTACTTAAGCTTTATCAAGCACAAAAAGATAGGCCATGTTGTTTCCTTCACAATATTAATTATAATGTTAAATGTATTATATATCTAGATGACTGTTAGGACTGAAGTTCGAGAGCCACTGGGTCCATTTTATGCCACACAAGCAAGACCCAATGTATCCACACATACAGTGTAAACATCAACTATTGGAGTTATCAGGTTGTCGTTGCAGTTAACACTTTCGTTAGCCTTTTCTCTTTATTTGCTTCAAGGACCACTGACAGTAGTGCACTTAGTTACTTCCTGGTACTCTTGTTGGTGGAAGTGTTGCATCAAAGAATGTAAACAAAGGGGCTCGATGAGATGACTACATGGTATGAATCTTCCACGAGTGAATACCACAAGTTGCTTATCTCCCTGTTGAAGATACTGTGTCAGCGAAAGGGGAAAGTACTCGCACCTTTTGGGTCTGACTCATCACAACAGGTACTTTCTTTGTTTCATGCTTCATTTTGTTGCAGTCGTAGTTGTACTTATATTACTGTTCTATTGTGTGCCTGTAAGCTTGTTCCCCTTTGCTATAATTATTCATTCAGAATTTTCATCAGAAGGAAGATGCCCATAATGCATGTTTGACTTAACCACCCTTGTGTTGTGATGATGTCATATAGTGCAAGCAAACTAATACTTTTGATATGATTACCATTTCTGAACGGTTATGACGGATGCATTAGACTTGTTTTTTTAATAATTATTATGTTTGGTATTATTGCCTGGCCATATCATAGGTTCTGATTCTACATTTCCCCTCCACCGAACTATACTGGTTTCTGAACTGAACTATTACCTGCAACTACCGGCTACTGGTTTCAACCTGTTTTACGGTCCTCATTTAGGCTACAATTTAAAATGGTTCCTCTCAAGGATTCAGAAGATTACAGACTTGGCTTATACCCAGTGCCACTAGTATCTCAAATTATATTCTGTGTCATTGGCATATTTAGCCAAGTGTCCCCCACCGCCAGTACTACTTTGTGGATTTTACACTGTCTGAAATGAAGATAAAGATGTGTCTCATGGGGTAGCAGTAGCATCTTAGTTTATCATCTCGATAGGCTATAGAGCAAGCGGTCGCTGGGTATGTATATTTGTTCAGTGTGCTTACTCAAAAGTTTTCGATTTGCTGAATGTGGATGTTTCTTCCTTTCTGCCAGGAGAAGATGATCTGAAACTGGATGCAGACGCATGACGCCTAAAACGAGGCGGAGGATCAGCTTCAGTCCAGGGCACATTGCAGTCAGTCAGCCAGCCAGACTTCCAAAGTTTTCGATTTTCAATTTGATTTTGATTTGCTTGCGGATTATTGAGAGCTACGTGGAGATGGAAGAGCAGTTTGATTAACTAGCAAATGTTGAGCTGAGAAGATGGCACCCAATATATGTTCAAATAATTTACTTTAGATGGGAGTGTGTTGGCCGTTGGATAAACAAAATCTTGCGTTGTCTGTGACGGGCTCGACTCTAAATATTTGTTCAGATAATTTACTTTTCTGTTGCCGCTGCCTGGTTATGTAAAACTCTCCTATTTTACTCACTGTAATTGGGTACATTTCATCACAAAACAGAGATCAGCGGTACATGCTCACATTTTTTTATCATGAAGAAATAATGAAACCAAAACTCCTTTTCTGATCCCGAGCTCAAATGCTCATTGGTGAACAGTAAAATAAAAATAATAAAAAAGATCTACCACAAATCTTTTTTTTTTAACTTTGACAAATGTTTTGTATGCTTGACAAATTTCAACATGAAATAACTTTTGTGGAAGTGATAGCAAAATAACAAAATCAAAGCTCCAAAATGTTTTCAAAACTAGCATTTTTGGAGCATCAAATATTCTTTTGCCATGACTTCCACGAATGTCAAGCGAGGGTTCAGGTGCGCTGACGTAGCCCTCCTGCCCCCTACACTTCCGACGACACTAACTTTATTGAGGTCATGGAAGGGTCGAAGGAACCCTCAGAGACCGACTCAGAGTTGGAGTATCCTGAGGAGGATGACAATCTTTCTTTTCCCTTTTTCCACCCCCACCAATACTGCTGCATCGTTCGTGTGAGATCATCACAAAACCGATGCCGGCAACTAGAACACACTATTACATGTGTGGGGATAGGCTGCGCAACTGCTTTAATTAATATCTCCTTGTTGCCAACTGACATGTATTGCTCACTCCAGTCAACTAGCCTCTTGCTTAGGGTCTGTTTGGTTTCAAATAAGTCACCAACTTATAAGTCAAAAAGCGAAAAAAGTGACTTATTTTGCCAAACAGACCCAACTTACAAGTCATAAGTTGCTACACCCCAACTTAAAACTTATAAGTCACCTCCTTTTGCGTGGGTCCCACCTTTACATAAAAAAACAAGATGGAAAGGTGTGGTCAGATGACTTATAAGTCAGGTGACAACCAAACAGGCGTGACTTATAAGTCACTGGTTTTAAGTCACCTGACTTATAAGTCAGGTGACTTATTAGAACCAAACAGACCCTTAGACTCGCCCGAACTATTTCAAACATACCTTTATTCATTATCCCATCTGGAACCGGTAGTCCCAAATATTTGGGGTCAAACACTTGTTGAGATTTGTCAAGAATTCCTCTCACGTCCTCCACCACCGCACCAGGACAATGTCAGAAAAGAGGATGAAACACTTTGATGGGTTTATGAGTTTCCCTGTCGATGAAGAATAAGTGTTCAACAAACCTATAACCAACATTGCATGATGTTGTGAGGCTTCAAAAAATAAAAGGGAATCATCTGCAAATAATAAATGGGTGATAGTGGGCGCCCTTCGACATATTGCCACACCCTTGAAGCCCTCCTTCTCCACAGACTTTTGTACCAAAGCAGATAAGGCATCAGCAACCAATAGGAATAAGAAAGGTGACAAGGGATCACCTTGACGAAGACCCCTTGTAGGTATGAAGGAATTCAATATCTTCAAATTGATTTTTACTGAATACTTTACAGATCTCACACAAGCCGTAACAAGAGAAATCCACCGTGCGGAAAAACCCCATTTAACTAAAGCACCTTCCAAAAAGTCTCAACCGACACGACCATAGGCATTCGAGAGATCCAATTTATATGCACAAAGATGTGACAAGGCCCGTCCCTCCTACTATCATGTTTCTCGCTGTTGCTGGAAATAATTTATCGGTACCCAGTGATTCCTCTATATTATCCACACTATTTTTTAAAGGTGAATGTGTCAGTATCGGTAATTTTGATTCATTTGACGAGTTTCGATTATGAACTTGGATGTTGGAGTATTCTGAACTCGATAATCTCCTTGTCATATTTATCATGTTGTTACATTCTCCAACTTATTTTTCCTCATTCTTCTGGAACGAAGCGATAAAAAGAAAGAAGCAATAAAACATGACGTGGCATGAGACTGACGGGTGGGAGCCCACCTGTTTTTCTTTTCTTTAATTTTTCGAGGGAAAGGAGCTCACCTAGGTTGGGTCGAACCAGATCAGAACAGATCACACCCACGCAAATCACTCCACCGCGCTTTCCCCATTCCCTCGCCGCCGCCGCCGCCGCCGCCATGCTCCGGCTCCGGTGCTGCCTCCTCACCCAGCTCCTCTCATCTCCCTCCGCGTCTCCCGCCTCCCACCTCCGCCGCCTCTTCTCCGCCGCCGCGCCCGCCGTCTCCCCGAACCCTAGCTTCGCGGTGGAGGAGTACCTCGTCGCCACCTGCGGCCTCACCCGACCCCAGGCCCTCAAGGCCTCCGCCAAGCTCTCCCACCTCAAGTCCCCCTCCAATCCCGACGCCGTCCTCGCCATCCTCGCCGGCCTCGGCCTCTCCAGCGCCGACGTCGCCGCCCTCGTCGCCAAGGACCCGCAGTTCCTCTGCGCCAAAGTGGAGAGAACCCTGGCCCCCGTCGTCGCTGGGCTCACCGGCCTCGGCCTCTCACGTTCTGACATCGCGCACCTCGTCTCGCTCTCCCGTGACAAGTTCCGATGTAGATCCTTCGTCTCAAATCTGCAATACTTCCTGCACCTCTTCGGCTCCTTTGAGAACCTCCTCCCTGCTCTCAGGCGCGGCTCATGCTTTCTCTCAGCCGACCTTGAGACAGTGGTCAAGCCCAATGTTGCCTTCCTGCGTTCCTGCGGGCTAGGTGACTGTGACATTGCCAAGTTGTGCATGGCTCAGCTAATGCTGCTTGGCTCCAACATAGAGTGCGTCCGGGCAATGGCAGCACGCGCCCAAGATATTGGTGTGCCCTGTGGCTCTCGGATGTTCAGGCACGCGCTGCAGGCTGTTGCATTCCTCAGCAATGAGAAGATCGCCGCCAAAGTGGAGCACTTGAAGAAGATGTTCAGGTGGTCTGATGTCGAGGTGCGCATTGCTTTGTCCACGCTTCCGCCTCTGCTGATGAGGTCTAACCATATGCTGGAGAGCAAGTCAGAGTTCCTAATATCCAAGGTGGGGTTTGAACCAGCATACATTGCTCATCATCCGGCATTGCTCACATACAGCCTGGAGGGCCGGATCATACCCCGGTACTATGTTGTAAAGTTTCTCAAGGAAAATGGACTGCTGGATCACAACCGGAGCTACTATTCTGCAGTCATTGTGATGGAGAAAGTATTCGTGGACAAGTACATATCCCCTCACAAGGAAGTTGCACCATACCTTGCTGAAGACTATGATGCCGCTTGCAGAGGGGAAGTGCCGACTAGATTCAAATTTACATGAAAATTGGTAACACTACGGCACAACAATTTTTTTTTACATTCCGTGTTATGCTATTCATTCCTGATTTGGTGTTCTTGGCCTAACTGAATTGTAGTTGTCTGCTATTGATAATCTATAGTATGTTTGTTACATGCTGATTTGATGGTGCTAGTCTAGGATCATGAAATTGGCAATTTGATTTGAGAGTATTGGTATGCTCATTATGACATTCAATTAGAGAAGAAAGCATCGTACTACTAGCTTGTGCACTCTAAGGTTGCATTGACATACATATTGGATTTACGGGAATCTTTGTGAAAACCATGGAGCGGCTGCTCCAGCCATGGATACCCTTCATTTCCACCTCGAGATAGGAGCCATGTCAGAGAAAGCACTGCACAGTACTAAGCACTCTCTGACACATATCCCCACAACATTACGTTTGAAATGGATGGCGTCCAAGAGTGGAGCAGTGGTTTCATGGAGCTAAAAAAGTCTCTCTAAGAACTAATGGAATTAAAGAGAGTGAGAGCAGGACATTCTGCAAATACTTTCAAGTATCTTTATGTTCTCATTTTGGCCAAAGATGACACAGACTTCCAAATTTTCTCTGGATGGAAGTATGTTTATCACCGCCAAGGATGCAGTTTGGATCTAGTATGTTGGTTGCTTGCTCTAGTTCTTCTAAGATGAAAATCTTCGTTCATCCAGCAGTAGCTTTGCTTATAAAACTGTTGTGAAAGCAAGTCATTGTGCACTACTCAGTAGTTTGTATCAGTATTTTCCCTTATATTCTTTGATTGATGGCCTACTAGTTGATATTTTTCATATGGCTTCTGATGTCAGAACTGAATAGTGCATTAGTTGGCTAGTAGCATTTTTGTTATCGACTTATCCATGTAGAACTATGTAATGAGCATTTTGGAGGCCCTGGTATTTGTGCTGCAGAGGCAAATTTCTGAAAAGCAAAGGGCATTTCATATAACAGAACTTTTGTTAAGTTAATCTTAAAACCGGTTATGTCATTTATCTGTCGTACCTTTTTACTAATTTTATTCCATATTAGCACTATGTGCATAGATGCTTAGGCATCTGTATTCCATATCAGTATTTGCTTTTTTTGGATGCTCTTCTATATTTTCTTTTGTTGTGTCAGCTATGATCTCTTCTAAAGACGTGTATGCTGGCATTGGAGAAAAGAGAATGAACACTGTTTTTTTGCCTTGTTTCATTTTTTTTGGCTCTGGAAGAATGAACACTGTCACCTCATCTAAGAGATTATCCCACTAATTTTCTCTTTTATACCAAATGTCATCTCTTCGTCGCCTATTTAGTTAAATCTAAGTCTAGATATTACATAATTATATAATCTTGCAGAACTTAGAACATAGGAATAGTATACATGTTGTGTACCTCAAATTAAGACCCAAGCTGTGGTCGGGATGTGCATATTTGTCTGTTCCTGATGTTAGGCTTTAGAAGTTGGAAGAAATGAGATCTCAGCTGTGTGCTTGCAGTTACACAAAGGAGATGGGTCCATGCTATTAATCCCAAAGAGATTAGATTTGAAATGAACATCTGTTGTGTGTCCCTTCTCTGGTGCCTAGCTTGTGGAATTATAGGAACATACTGATTTACTGAATGCAGACGGCGCGTTCTTTCTTTCAGAAGATGTGCTAAAACCGGATGCAGATGCATGGTGTCCCCTTCTTGTTCTTCCAGGAGATCGACGAAGCAGGGCGCTTTGACTCTGCTATCATGTATGTGATTCTGAAGGTATTTGTGGACTTGACGCCTTGCGTGAAGAAGCTCCTACTTTTGTCCTTTTGAAATTTGCAATTTCAGTAAACCTTATTTCTAGTAATTCTGAATCAGAATAAGATCTGATTAGTTAACTCTGAATCTTTCAGCCACCAAGTTAAGATATCTATAGTAACCGCTTAAATGTTATAGCCATGTTTGTTTTACTCGAACCAGAGCTGCAAAATAAACACGAATCTTACAACAAAGTTGGTCATTAATGCAAATACGGCAAGAACGTGTTGTTTTGTATTCAGCAAATGCTTCAAGTATCATTGATGAGTACATTTGCACACTCTGTATCTCTATGTTCCCAATGTCCGTTGCAGTTTGCAATGCAATCCTCAATCTTTTTTTCAGTGAATAAATGTCATTATTTGTGCCCAGCAAATAGCTAGAGTATGTACTCTCGGTTTAGCATGGTATCCATTCTACCTAGATTGATCTCAGGTGTTATACTAACATTTGTAGTCTATATATACTATATCAAACCAGAGTTACTTTAGGCATTAACAAATGCAAACTGGCTTCCACTATATGGAATTTGTCTTTTAGTGTTGAAGAAATATATCTTCAGAGTTCAGAACTATGCCGAGCTTCTACTACAGACCGTTATGAAAGAACATATTAATGCCGGATATTATACCATGTTTTTGTCCATACGCTCCCTAAATGGGATATATTACTCGATGGCATGAATTATCAGCCATATAAAATTTCCTGTCATGAGAGCAGATTGCTAGATCCATTCTGCATATTTTTCAGTTTTTTGTGCATGCTATCTTTTGCTTCCATGGTTTGTGTGCTTGAGAACTCGTAGCCCCATAGCCGTCGATTACTAGAGCACAGATCTGTCTGCTCAACAAAATGTAGCACCTTGAGGGCATCCACCTGCCGAAGCAGAACGGACAGACACTTGAGGTTTGTCGGGCACACAGGCGGTTCAGGATTTGGAGCCTGAAATGCAACCATCAGACTTGTTTTCAGATGTCCCACTGCACCCTGACGATAGGAGCCAAACAGGTCTATGTGGTTGTCAACCAGATAGAGCAACTGGTCTGGTCTGTCGCAGGGAGACCCAGCAACTTGTCACCATTGAGGTGAGGCCAGCCAGATTGCAAACACAGGCAAAAAAGGATGGCAATGTTGCTGCAGATCCAGTGCTTTTTGAATCTCCAACTTATACTGCACCTTGCCAGCAGTGTCTACTGAATTTGAAACTCAGACTTGCCAATCAAGTGTATCTGCACAACAAAGTTTAGCTATTTGTCAATCAAGTACTTATCAAGTATGTCTCCTGAATAAAGCTTGCGTTTTGCAGCCTGAAGTGCAACAGGCAACCTCAATGTCAGAATCCATTTTGTACACGTCTTAGGATTATAACATACCCGTACATGCCCTGTATTTGTACCAATCATTTGTGGTATATATTTTTTTAACACAAGGAAGGCGCATTCAGGCGCCAAATTTCATTCAACTCATTTGCAAAATACAGCGTGTATTACAAATCCTTCAACCTAAAAGTTTTGAAGAGAAAGCATAGAAGGACAAGGAGAATGAGCTGAATTTGTACAACTAAAAACAGGTTGAGTCCTGCTTCGGTACAACCCCCCGTCCAAAACGTATAAAGGGCAATATGGGGATTCGAACTCTGCTGCTCCACCTTAGAAAGGGCAGCTACATACCAATCAACTTGATAGATGTTGGTGCCTAACAAAGAGCGTGACACTTTAAAAACAAACTACGACACATAATCCTGGTAGTTATTGGATTTTTTATCTTTTCTTGGAAATTGTGAATATTTTTTCTAAAAAAGAGAGTAATTTTATAAAATCCAACAATTGTTTTTCAACAACTCTAAAAAAGTTCTAAAATTCAATTTTGAAGACCTTGTCTTTTTTGAAAATCCTAAATATCTTCTGAAAATACACGGACATTTTTGGAATTTAGAGAACAAAATTTGCTAATGGGAACACTTCGGAAATTCTGGGAATTTTTTTGAAACCGGGAACATTTTAAGTAATTCCTAAACATTTTTTAAGTTTTGAGAAAAAATTGAATACAGGAACAGCTTTCAGAAAACAATAACCTTTTCTGAAATTTTCATATATTTTTGGAATTTATGAAAAAAAGGAAAACATGCGCATTTTTTTTTGTAAAAAAAGCTCGAAGATTTTGGGAAACAACAAACAATTTTAAAAACTAACATATTTTTAAATTTCCAAACATTTAGGGAAAATTAACATTATTAGGGTGTTGAGAAACAAATTGTAAACGGCAAGATTCTTAGCATTCAGAACGTAGAAAAAAGAATATTTTTGGAAATCCTGTACATTTTTTCAATTTATAACTTTTTTTTAGAAGGAACACTTTGTAAAATACTGAACAACTTTTTAAAATCATGAACCAAATTTGAATTTTCCAAAAAACTTGAAATCACAAACAATTCTGTAAAAGGAAAATAAATTTTAAAATAAAACAAGAAACAAAGAAGGAAACACGAAAGCAATTCAAAAGAAACAAAAAATGAAAACAAGAAAAAGAAAGAGAAAAATGAAAAACGAAAAAGAAAGTAAACCTGGAAACCGTCAAAAGAAAAATAAAAAGCGGGAAGCTTCCCAAAATCAGATACGAGTGGTTCCTACATTATCTGCAGAAATGGGACGGCCCAAATGCTTCTCTCGGTCGCTCGCGAAACAGGGCCAATCTGACGCATTTTGCGGCTTTTCTTTGTTTTTTCGTTTTTCTTCTCCTTTTTCATTAATTCATTTTTCTTATTTTTGAACGTTATTATTATTTTTTGAAACATTTAATATATTTTTTGGAATACGAAACTAGCAATTTGAAGTGACTGTTATTATGAATTTTAAAAAAAATTCCTGTAAATATTTATTAAATGCTTTGAAAAAATTAATTGTTTGAGGCCTTCGTCACATCTTTTGTTTCATCACTTTGATTTGGTGGGGCTTAGTTGTTGTGTAGAATCCAACCCCCTAACCCCGAAAGCCATGTATGAGAGTACAGGGACATTCCGTGAAATTCCATATCAACTTTTAAATTTTATATTGAAAAAAGAATCTGCTATTCCAAATAAATAAATAAATTTTTGCATAGGTTTCAAAAAGAATAATAAAGTTCAAGAAGGAGAAAATCAATTAACCAAAAAGAGAAGAAAAATAGAAAAATAGAGAAGAAAAAAATGCTTAGGCCCTAGAAAATAA